TATATATATTGGATTGAGTTGATTCTTAAACCATTGATATCAAAGTCCGATTCACAAGTTTTGATAGTCAAAAAGCTGAAATACAGAAGTATACTTTTGTTGCTACAATCTGGAAAAGTCTACTGACCAGTGTGGAGTATTTTGATCATAATTCAGTCTCTAGACATCTAAATGACTGAATTCTTATGTCATTAGGAAGTCAACTCAAGGTGCTACAACTTTGATATTTTGTAGAAAAGCTAATTTAGCCTCCTTGGACACAATCTGGTGGTAGACAAAAAACTTTAGGAACTACTTCATCGCTAGCTGAAGCTTGAAGTTGAGTAAGGAAAAAAGCAATCGATTCCTGGACCTCCAAGATTGATTAGCGGATGGATCTACTCGCAGAACCTTAATTCAATTAAGAGGCACCTAGGGTTTTTCAAGACTTTTCTTCCATTTTAATTTCTCACCATTTTCCATCCTCCCTATAAATAGAACATCTAAGACATGAACCAATCAATTTTGAGGGGACTTTGGAGGCTACAATAACTCTCTAAAATGTAGAATTCCAACTAGAACTTCCTAGTTCATTAGGTTAGTGTAGGTTAGGTAGTTGTTATACAATGTTGTATGCGTCTATACTTGGAGAAAGATTCAAAATTGACGAAGAAGAGATTGGAGACTTTCATGTGATGAGTTTCTTCTTTTCACTCTTTTGATTTATTGTATTTGTACTTCAGTGATTAGCTGCAATAGTAGATTATTATTTGTTTTCCTTTTATTTTTGTCTTTCTAAGGTTTTAGTGTTAGGTATGAACTTGTTTGAGACATTGAATTAACTATGATTAATTTGTTATGTTATATTGCTTGTTAGTTCTTGGATCTGCTTTAATACTTGTATTTATTTGATCACCAAGTATAAGTTATCTTGGATTTTATGTAGCTAATAATATGCAAATCTTGATTCTTGAAACCTAGATATCTGATTAATGTATTGTATGAGAAGTATTTAGGTGGAAGTTTTGATAAATTTACAGATTTCCATGAACTTGTACTAGTCCCTCAATCATCACTACAAGAAAATTGTTCATCAGTGACAACACAAAGTCATCACAGAACATACAAATATCGTCACAAATACCTTTTATTGACGACTTTTTAATCGTCACAAAGTCGTCACTAAATCCCCGTCGGTAAAAGTAAACAGTGACGACCTAAAATGTCGTCACTAAATAGTTCTCATTAGTGACGACTTTAAGTAGAGCATTTTTGACAAAAGGTCAAGTCGTCAATAAAATACTTCCGGATTGTCGTCACTAATGACAACTATTTAGTGACGACCTTTTTAGGTCGTCACTAAATAGTTGTCATTAGTGACAACAATCTGGAAGTGTTTTATTGACGACTTGATCTTTTGTCAAAAATGCTCTACTTAAGGTCGTCACTAAAAAGCACCGAAAGCCATTGTATATAACTATTTTACTGACAACAATTGTCGTCACAAATTTAGCTTAGATTTAGTGACAGTCTCTGTTGTGACAAGGAGTTTTTATTTTCTATCTAATGACAACTTTTTTTTGTCATTAGATAATTTCTCAATAGCTTAATAGTCATAATTTGGCCTGTAATCATTGCTAAATCATTGATTTTAAACAAACCATACAAATAAACATGAACGATTGATAACCAAAAGTATTTGCATTAGATTACATGGTAATAATATAGCATTCTCAAATGCCAAATTCAAGTGTACATTACCCAACTAATGCCTACAAAAATAACATTTGTCCAAAATATCACTTGTACATAAGGTACATTTACAAAAGCAATCACAGTTTAAGAAATTGAAGAACATTTAAATGAACCACTCCATGAGCAAAAGGCAATTTTGTCTTCAACATTCTTCAACCATAACCATAGATATCTTCCAAAAGCTAGTATTAATAGCATTTATCTGTCATAAAAGAGTAAAAGAAGTAGGTAAGGGAAGGAGTACAATAATAAAGAACAAGTAATGAGACTTAGATTATTAAGACAAAAATTACAATTCATTAAGAACCTCATATAATTTGGGCCCACATATTACAACACCAGCAAGAAGTTAGAAATCACAGTCCAATCTATACAAATACTAGGGTCTGCTTCCCACGCAAGGCGTGGGAGCTTGAGACCCGTTAGTAAGGTTCCCTCCCATGCAAAAGCAGTATATATTAGTTGATAAGAGCAGTTAAGTATTGATTGAAAATATCCTTGGTTAACACGCAAAAGCAATATACATTATTAGTTTATAAGAGCAGCTATGTACTGATACAAAAAATGGAGTAACGGCAGTTGATTCTGTAGTGAATATTTTCTCCTGAATGATAGCCTTTGGCTAACATTTTCTATTGAATAATAACTACAGTAGCGCGATGCGAAGGCACGTTAAAAGGCATAAATCAATATATCATGATGCATGCTTTATAGAGGGTTATAGAAACCTAAAAAGCAAAGGATAGCAATAAAGAATAATTAGGTTCTGTCTTCTTTAAAAATTGTTAAATCAATATAACTAAGGCTTTTGCTAAATTTTTACCACATCTTGACATCATCTCTCTTCTAATATACCACAGTACAGATTATCCAAATGTGAATGTTGAAGATCTTGCAATTCTTCGAAACTAATATTTGTTGCACTTAGTAAAATGCTACCAAAATCCTGCAACACAGCTCTTGAAAGAGGGGAAAGAGGAGAAACAAAGTCCGCCTGATATTTGAAGTTAACCAGAAGTTGTAGCGTCAAGGCCCAAAGCGCCCTCAGAAATGTTTATGTGATACCCATTGAAGCAAACCATTATAACAGCAGGGTAATTAAAGCAAAGTCCATGTCCCATGGAATGAATTAAAAAGAACTAAAAGAAAGACACTTACCATGTCATCCTTCGCCAGGAATGCAGTTCCGATGAAGTATACGCAACAAATCAAAGCAGCAGTGACAAAGAGGCTGCATAAATATGATCTAGCTTTTGGATCTGGCTTGAGTGAAACCTGAAAAGGCAACAAATTAACTATCAGTACCCTAGAGACAGAAAGGTATCATTTCCATTTAGAGTTAATAAGAAGGTATCGAATTGTAACATCATATACAATTTCTTCAGCTATAACAAAATTTATCATTGTCAACCCTCCCAAGTAAACTTCAGAGAGTCCAAAAAACCACTCTGGCTCCAAAATTGTTAAGGCCAATAAAAATTGCACATGAGGGAGTGATGGTTGTACTTTTGATCAAACCAGTATGTTTTATCCTCTCCAAAAACAACTGAAAACCGATGCAAATAAGAAACGCTGGTACATGATTGGAGGAGGAGAGTGGATCTCTGGCACTTATTTCAATCAAAATATCTAGCAGACTGTCTAAAAGTTGGTATAGTTCTGGCCAGATGTTATGACACACAAGTTATGGAAATTGGTTCAGTCTTCCAGAATCAGCCGTTCGATGAAAGGTAATATCCAAAATATGGTTTCTACCATTGATAAATGTAGCAAGGACAAATACAACTCCTTCACTTCCAAAGATGGTTCACAGGGATTAACCACCAATCCCTCATGACGAAGGAAAATCTTTTCAATAGAGGCAGTACTCAGCAATATAAGTGCATCCTACCAAGTTCCGCTAAGCTGAAGAAGGATCCAGGGAAGACATAAAATGCTCTGGCCTTTTGATAACATTACATAGCCTACCTTAAGCCCATAGCTATCCTTTACTGATGTTACTGGATCCATTCAAACTCATAAACTATTGATATTCATGGCCGAAACAGAATGAAAATACTTGAAGAAGCTTCAAAATATGAATGATGAAAGCATTTCAATCCCATTTCTAAATATCTCTCCTAGCCAAAAATGAATAGGTAAAGCTAAATATCTGGTACCATATAAATATAACAGCTTTCAAGAAACCAAGTGCTTCACTGCTAAATACAGAATCTGCACAACAAGAACAGAACAAACATAGAGAACACCATAGCTAGATGTAGAAAGAAACAAATATAGATATGTGCGATAAGATGATACTACCTGTAACTTTGAGGCCAAGAGGTGGTGATAGATTTGCTCTCCGGCCTTTCGTCCTCATTATCATTAGAATAACTGCTAGAATCAGAATTATTTCCATCTTCACTATTTTCTTTCTCCAGTGCCTAAAATCATTGCCAGCTGCAAAAAAGCTAAGCTCTTGAGAAGCCTAAAATTAGAACAAAATCCGCTTAGCATCAGAGGCAGCAACTAAAGTACAGAACAAAAGAGAGGGTTGCCCCTCTAGAATTCAACACTTCTATCTGTAACATTATTCAGCAATATAGCAGGTTGTTTACAGAATTTGGAATATTAAACATCTTTTATTGCTAATAACAACAAAGAAAACAAGATTGAGGCAACATTGGGAACATCTTATGTTTCACTTCTCATGGCTATATACTCTCATTCACGGAAAGAAAACAAGATTGACCAAGAAAATCGAAAAGTAGCATGTCGAATTCTCTCCAGCGGTGGATTTGCATATTTACCTTATATATGAAGCTTCATATTAACATACGAATGATGTTGAAAACTCAAAAACAGTGAATAGTATGTTATGCTCTTTCTTGATAAATAGCTAGAGAAAAAAAACTATTTTCCCAATTGTTTTGTCAAATAAAATCAAATTTCTCGACACAAGGGGACATTGATTCCATATTTGGAAAAATATATGCTTTGGACTGGCCAGAGTCTCTCTCAAATTAAAAAAACATAAAATCTCCTCTTTTGGTTCAAGATTTCCGTTCGGGCATTTTATCAAACACTAAATGGGCGTGAAAAACTTCAGCATATTGTGCTCAATTGAGGTTATGACTAGCCCAAAATTTGTTATAAACACGAGATAAATCAGTCCAATCGACACCTAGAGCCTGTATATTCTAAAACCATAAACAATCAACAAGAAAATTGTACTAACAGAGACACGGAAAACATGCTTTGGGAGCTCAGACGTTTGTGCTTGAATGGGAACTGAAGTTCAAAGAGGGAAGACGACTTACAGGGCTTTCTTGGTGAAATTCGCAGGTGGCAATGGATATCCGATGGGTGGTGACGGCTCGGTGAGTTGGAAATCTCCGCTGCTGTTGCTGCTCAAGCTATCCACGGAAGAGGAGCAGGTGGAGAAGAATTTGATGAGAGTCTCGACGTCGTAGCTGTTCTTGCCCTTTTCACCGAGAACAGAAAGGTTGCTGAGGATGAGTTTTTTTTTGGGCTTGGCGCGGACAGAGACGACGGTAAAGGGGAAGGGCTGTGGTGGAGGCGTTGGGCAGAAAAGGCTTGTATTAGAAGTGGGGAGGAGCAGAATGGGAAATGAGGGGTTTTTGTGGAGGATTCGTTTGGGGAAATTGGGGGGAATTTGAGGACGGATGGTGGAAAGAGAGTGGTGGCAGCCGGCAGCCGGTTGAGGTGGTGGGAAATTTGGCAGTGGTGATTGGAAAAATTTTTATCGGATGATTGAAGCTGAAACCCCCATTTCCCTTTTGTGTGTTTTTTTCGTTGCTTGTTTCCTCCATTTTTTGCTCAGCCCGCCGCCTGGTTCCTCTTTTCCCTCTACTTTTCCTTTTTATCCCTCGCGCCCTTCTTCTTTTTTCTTTCTTTCCCAGTTCGCCGAAGCTTTCATGCCCAAAACCTAGCCGCCCCTCTCTGTTTTTCTCCCTCTGCTCCCTTTGCTTAGCTTTCTTTCCCCTTTTTTTTTGTGTGTCCGAAGCCTCTCCTTACTCACTTTCTCCTTTGGCCCTAAAAACTCCATCTTTTCCTTTTTTCCTTTTTTCATTTTTTTCCCCCAAAAATTCCTTAAACTTACCAAGTGTCCCTAACATAAAAGAGACACTTGTCCAAATGCATGCCTCCCCACTTGTCACTTTCACTCTTTTTTTTTTCTTTTCTCTTTTTTTCCTTTTTTTCTTTGTTTTCTGAAATTTAGTATGAAGACAAAAAATAAAATAAGCCAGAACAAAAATAAAAAAAATAAAATAAAAAATAAAAAAACCCTAGAATTGAAACAAATAAACCTATTAAATTAATTAAACAAATAAAGTTAAAAAATCAAAAATTTGGTGTCTACAATGTAATTGAAAATAATAAAACTCAAATTATATGGTTATAACACAGTTTCAATAAAAATAATCATTTTCCCAACATTTGAGACCAATCATCATGCTTTTTTTTTATTTTTAATTTGGTTTGAAGCATAGATTTTATTGCTATAGTATTATTCTTTATTTTTTAGTACAAAAACACAAATTTTCATCAATATAGGTGGCAAAATTTGTTAATTACATATAAGTGAAAATATACTTTTATAATTTGCAAATATTTTAGCCCTGCAATTTTTTATAATTGCAGCACTAAAATACATCATTAATTGAAAATAACGAAAGTCAAATTCTATGGTTATAACAGACTTTCATTAAAAATAATCAAATGCTATTAATAAGACATTATTGTTAAGTCAAAATCAAAGAAAATTTAGTGATGACATAATGTTATCACTAATTTATTCAAGATTATAATGACAAGGAAAGTCGTCACTAATTAAATTGCTAGTTTTTAATATTGTCAATTGCTAGTTTTTAATACTTTTGTGAAAATATTGATAATGGTTGAGAAAATTTTGTTACATTACTGCAAGTGATAAATGTACTTTTGTTCTTTTTCAAACATTTATTTTAATGTTTAATTTTGTTTAAAACTATTGTACTGGTATAGATTTACAAGACAAAACTTAAGTTCTCAATAGTTAAAAAATTCATTATAGAGAAAACACAAAGTAGTAGTTGCAAAATGTGTATAAATTACAGATATTTTAATGTGTATAAATTACAGTTTATTTTAATGTTTAATTTTGTTTGAAACTATTTTACTAGTATAGATTTGCAAGACATAGATTTATGGGTAATTTCTTTTTTTTTTTGCTTTCACATATTTAATTTATGTTAAATACAAAACCTACCAGTTTCCCTTTCATAAAAATATTAGTGCAACACTTTTTGAATTTTACTTACAAACATTTATGTATTTAACATAAATTAAATGATTTAGAGTGAAATGCCCATAAAGAGCAGAATATTTGTTCATGTAATGGAAGAAACCCACAAAGAGTTGGTACTTTATGGGCCATTTCTTTTTTTAAAAAAATTTAATTTATGTTGAAAAGATAACCTGTCAGTTTTCGTTTTGTAAGAAATCAGTGTAACACTTTTTGAATTTTACTTACAAACATTTATAAATTTATCATAAATTATATGTTTGAGAGTAAAATGCCGAATAGATAATGCTCATTTGCCCATAAACTACACTCCCTGAAGGCTATTTTGTTAATTACTTTGTAGTACTTTGTTATTCCTTTGCTAATACTACTTGGCATGTAGTACAAAGGATAAATCTGGCATAAATTTCTTATTCCATTGATAAAAAGACATGCCTGCCTTATAACTATTATAATGAAAGATATATCTTTAGAGTTTATAACAAATTATTACTTAAGTTTGAGAAAATTATAAAATATTTATGCATAGTTTATCAAGATACCATTCGCAATTTCCTAATAAAAAAATAGGGGCTAAATTGTAAAAGTTAGGGTGCCATAATAGAAATAATAAAATTAGTGTATTACATATGGGGGTTAAATTGCAAAAGTTAGAGTGCCATAGTAGAATTAATGAAATTGGTGAATTACATATGGGGCTAAATTACAAAAGTTAGGGAGTAATAATAGAATTAAAGAAATCGGTGTACTACATATGGGGCTAAATTGTAAAAGTTAAGGTATTATAATGGAATTAATGGAATTTTTTACAACATTTAGGGCTAAATCGCAAAAGTTAGGGTGGCACAGTAGAATTAATGAAAGTGACTTAGAAATAAGTACTTTAAACAGTGACGATTAATTCTTGTCACTAAATCCGAATCGGTAGAGTGACAGTGACGATATTAGAAGTTGTCACTATATAGATCATTTTAGTGACAACGTTTTTCAAGGTCGTCACTGAAGACTTAGTTGCTTTAAGCAATTATGACAACTTTCCTTGTCGTCACTAAACAACCACGTTTTATGACAACTTTTGTCGTCACTAGAAAATGTTGTCACTAATGACCATATTTCTTGCAGTGTAGTTTGTGACGAAAATAACGGGTCGTCACTAAACATTTAGTTACTTTGATGCAATTGTGACAACTTTAGGTATCGCGACTAAAGAAGCTCCTTTTGTGACGACTTATTGTCATCACTACAAAATGTTGTCACTAATAACTTTTTTTTTTAGTGATCAGTGACGACAACAAAAAATCGTCCGTAAATAGGCCAAGCAATAGTGATGATGTTCTTAATATCGTCACTATTGTGTGTTCTAAACACTCCCGCGCTCTTGCTAAATCTTGGCGGGAATTTACCAAATGAGTTGGCTCCCATTAGAGGTTTGTGACGAGTTAGAAAGTTGTCAATAAAGGATCTCCTTTTGTGACAACTTTTTTTCGTCACAGAGAAAAGTTGTCACTGATGACCAATTTTCTTGTAGTGCATGTTTATTACTGGGATTAGATATGGGTAATTGTTCATTTGTGATAGCAATGTTCAATACAATTTGAAATTAATCCTGAACGAGTAGTTAATTATAGTAGATTCAACTTAGTTAATTGATGTTCAAATAACAAGGGATTATAGACTCTACGAGCTTTTCCATTGTTATTTTTTTGCTACTTTTATTATATGTTTATAGTATAGATCTACTTATTTTTAAGGAAAATGTAATTTACGCTTCCCTTTTTTGTTATTTGCACATCCACTATCATTTTTATCATATAGTTTTCATTTATTAGATTATATGATATAAAAAATTATGTGAATACAAACAACAAAATATGGAGTGAAAACCGTGAGGACCCGAAAAATTTTCTTATTTTTATCGTATTTTACTGGCTTATTTAAATATTTATTCTCCCGTTTTCTCCGAATAATTTATTTCAACCATTTTAAATCCATTTACATGGAATAAGGTCTTATTTATATTTTAAAAAAAAGTCCCGATAGCAAATTTAATTTTCGGAGACTCGTTTAGTAAGGAATAATGAGTACATGTTTTTCGAGGCAATATTCGATCCGAGAGTGCAAACATTTTGGAGAATTAAGAATGATCAATAGTAGACTATGTGAGAACTCATGTTTTATTCTTAAAATAGTTATTTTTTTATAATTATTTACTTTAGAATTAGTTGTTATATTTTAGTTGCGTTTAGTGCCCTTAAAATTCATTTATCGCGCGCGAATCAGAAGTTCGCGTATTTCACGTCAAAACGGTTAAGTGGAGATTTAAAAAACTTATACTAGACTATTAAGAATGAATAATTATAGTGTTAAAGGAACTACATTAGAGGTTTAGTGTACAAGTAAAACAAACCCGAGAGAAAACGGTATTACAAACCCCGCGCACGCACACTATTCCTAGTTGACTTTTGTAGGATTTTTGGCCACAAATTTAACAAGCTTCCAAGAGAAGCTTCACAAAACAAAACTCTCTCTCTCACCTCACTCCATAGCCGGCCGAATAGCAAGGGAAAGAAAGGAAAGAAAGCTCCAATCCATCTTGCTCATTCTTGCTCCAAATCATTTCTAACTTTGCATCCAACCTCAAAACCCCTTGGAGATTAGCTTGAGCTTGGAGAAAGGCTTCATCTTGGAAGATTCTTGGAGGTTTTTGGTGGTGAAATTTCTGGTTTCTTCAAGAGCCAAGGAGGTAACCAGCAACTCATCTAATCTGTCCATTTAATACAAGATTTACAGTTGGATTTGTAAGGGTTTGACACCCTAAGCATGGATTAGGCTAGAGGACTTGAGGTGTTTAATTTTTTGCTTTTATTCTTAGGCTAGCTGACTTGGGGTGAACTCTAGGTAGCTGCCTTGAGGATTACATGCTTGATTGATGTTATTTATGTGTTATATGAGTTGATCTTGGTTAGAGAATGAAGGAAAGATCAAAGGAGAGAGGCGCATGGACTTGGCCGAATCTATCTTGTTATTGTCTTGCCTATATTTCAAATTTTTGATGCTCAAATGACTGTGAAACTGATGTATATATGTTGTATGGTGTGTATAAAGTTTCTACCAAAAATCATTTGAATA